ACATACTGCATTGATCTGCTCGAAGCTAGAGCCTGAAACGTTTAGTCAAAAATTAAAGTGCGTTATCTACGTTATCTTAATCGATTCCAAGGGATTCTTACAATGTCACATATCGATTTGATGGTTAACGGCCAAAACCGAGCATAGATTCTCAATCGCTTAAGATACTTCTTTTAGATCTGGTCATTCCGTTTGTCGCCTGTTGTTGGATTTCTCAAAATTTGCGAATATTTCACATATATAATCTTAGGTGACTTCTTTTTTTTCAAAGGTATACTCAAGCGAAATTCGGAACAAGCAACTGATCTAAAAATCATTGAAAACGTTTTATTTTTGGAAAAACTGTTCCATCATTCACCGTTACATCTATAATGAAAGGATGGTCCTAGCTTTCCGTGTTGAGTGCCCGTCATTGGGCTTAAGCCACGAAATAAAAAATGCGAAATTCACAAGTAACTGACTTATGAAACTGTTTTAAAGAACTGCTTCTTGCATTCACAGATATTCAAATATTTTCAGTGAAACGAGAGAGGAGTGAGTTTTTATGTTACACATTGTTATTATTATTTGATTTTCAAGGTCGAGCAACCATAATGTATTCATAATAGTAAGCAAATTGGGAACGAAAACTGAGTTCTTTTGAAAACTATTCTATTTCTTAACATTTGACGCGTACTGTTCCGAGAAGCTGAGGGCAAGCTCAATCGATTACGAATATAGGCGGATTAATTCAATTTTTAAATTCAAATATCAAATACTTTATTTTAATCGCAATGTAAAAATATTTGCTTCTCTTTGGTAGTGGATATTATAAATTCACCCCGAACGGAATGTAATTTCTCACTTATTATAAATTTTTGCTGTCATATTGTGAATTCTAAATAACGCATCGCGAATTAATGATAATGGGTGTTGACAACCCGGATTATATTTTTTAAATAATTACAGTAGGTGTTGTAAATGTATTGCTTAATGCTCCCGGGCACTTTGCCAAATAAAATCTCTGGATATATATTTCATCTGGCGAATTGTGCAAACTGCTTAAGCCAAAGTAATTGCAGGTGTTCTCAAATACAATAACGTAGGTGATGACTATTAAAGATCCGCCTTCTACGAGCAGCACTTTTCAATGCATAGATTGCATGAATGTTCGCATTTACGCAGAAGATGTGTAGGTAAAACGCCCTATTAAATGGATAAACTTAAAACGTAGCTTCGCCGATTAGCTGAATGCAATTAATATTCCAACGTATTTTTTGATCTTAAAGTTATTGTGCCTAAATGAATGAATGAATGAATGAATGAACGGAACCATTTAAAATCTCACAAACATTCAAGAAGCTCAATGAATTGCCAATGGTTAGAATTAAACTTTACCCATTTTAATAACCGCTTACGCTTATGCTTTCCTGCATATGCACGTACATATCTACACACATATCACAAATGTATTTTTGTATGTATAACAGTTGGTTTGAGCAGACATGGTGGTCTTATCAATATCATTGTCATCATTTAAATGTTTTTAGGAGTTGAAGTGTTGGTTTATCCCTAAAGCACTTTCTTTGCAGTTTAAAATTCAGTTTAAATATTATTTGTAAGATCGCGAATAATGTAACAACGCCCCATTTATATACACTGCATAAATAAGCATTTCTCAAACTGTTCACAAGTAGCTATTTTAGCCACTTCGGCATAATGCGGTAAAAAAATTGATCATCTTCAAAACATATCAAGTAATTAAACTGCCATTTTTAAGTTGACTCTGCTTTTCGACCAGCAAACAGCAGCCAAGTTGCTGAAGAACAAATGTCAAAATCGTTTCAAATCGCCAAAGTCAAATTTTCATTTTAGATTTACAAGGTAGAAGAAGAAGGAAAAAGTTCAAATTTACAAGTCAAGTGTGAAAACCAACTATATTCCGCTAACAAAACAAATACCCAAAAGCATCCTCTACTCGATGTGACGCGAACATCACATCGTATTTTAGCACAATTTCGTAAAACTTACCTCTAAAAATCATATTAACCGAATATTAAAATGGCTAGTATCAAGTCAGCGTACCCATGCCTGTGTCTCACACTTTAATTATATATAAAAATGTATGGTCGTAGCCATGTAGCGGTGAATACTCGATAGGTGAAGAGGTGAAGGTAATATTCACCGATCGAGCACACAATTGCCAGGCTGCGGTCGCTTCCTATCTCTCTCTTTCTCTCACTCCATTTATTCTTAGCCTTCGCTCTAGAACACATACAGAGGACATCCTCGAGCGTTTCCTTATAAGACAAAAATAATTTAACTTATTTATCTGTATTTCCCGAATTTCCCGAATTCGTATTCATGAAAATAGTTACGAGACGCATGTTTCACACACACTGTAAACATGTTTTTTAGGTTTTTTGCGCTTCAACTCGGCGACCATAGTTCAGCTTTTTTAACTTTTTCCAAAGAAAAATACATCTGGCTGAGTTGATGTTCTTGAGAGAGAATTTCCTTTCTCTCACTATTGTATTTGCTAGCGAACTCTACAACGAATAGAAATCGATATCCTGTTCTGGCGATATATTATTAAATATTTTTGAATGTGATAATTCCTGCCAAAGTCAGGATATTAGCAAATACTTGTAAAGGCCATCTAAGTGACTCTGCTACTATATCTATATCTACAGTCTTCATAGTCTAAAATTAGTCCTATTGTAAAACAAAAACATCATTTCAGGAAAAGCAATCATCACAGATTTCATCGGCATCCACCACTATAGCAACACACAATTCTGTCATATCAATTTTCCAATTCTTCTACAAAATCTTACATGCTTCAAAGTCAACAGAGACTCAATTCATTATTCTTTGGTCAGGCGAGGGATTGAAACTAGGCATTAATATCATTTAGTGTAATATATTGTCTAGCATCTTGACAGGAAGATTCTTTCAATATTGTATTATTTCTCAATATAAACAGGATTTCATCTTTCCCAGTCACTATTCACTCCTTGTTCGCAGCTTCTTCTACTGGCCCACCTCCTTCAAGTTAGCGCTTGGACAAATACCAAACCACTTCTTGCATATATTCTAATCAACTTCCACCCGGAAGACAATCAATCTCAATCAAAAGATCGCTTTTATTTACTGTGGAAGTTATGTTATCGTAGTCGTAATTCCTTCAATGTGTAGCCATTTCATATTTTCGGAATAAATGATCGCCTCTGCAAAACAATTTAATTAATTACTTAACGTATATTAAAAACGATCATAAATATATTTTAATCTGCAGTGTTTTTCTTTTTTCAGCTCTCTTTTTACGATGCACAAGGAGGTTTCGGTTAAGCAAACAAGCTTACATCTTACCTAATTTCCCAGCTGATAATTTCATTCCATTATTTCAAATTTTATTGGCAAACTTTATTGGTAGTAGTTGTGTATGTAGCACAAGTTGGTAACCTCCAAATATGCCAAATTTTATATAAATGCCTCACATGTGTTATACGTAAACATGATCCCCATGAGCAGCCGAATAGGTAAGAATGGCAACTACCACGTGAGTGTCGACAGGTTTCAGTAGAGTTAACTTCGGCTCTAACTATAATGAGCACCGAGTCAGTTGGCCACTGAGTGCTTCTTTCACTTTCCTTACTTGTTTTCGACCGTCACCGCGTTATGCGAATAAAGGACGTCCCTTGAGTGATTGGTCAAAAAAACAAATAAATGAAATTTTTAATCTTTTTTCCAAACATCTTTTACTTCCTTGACCATTATCATCATAGTCACTGAATCCATTTTAACCATTTAGTATAAATTGCATTTGCCAAATTTTAACTTTTTACGCGACCTAAAGGAACTCCAAAGGGCGAGTCGTCAATTTAGCTTTTCTCAGTAAAGTTAAATAGAAATTGAAATAAAAATAAAAATAATTAAATGAAAAATACATCAAGAACCGAAAAATTCTACTTGGAAATTTAGAAAAAACAAGTAAAAAGTTATATTCGGCGGGGCCGTAACTCGCATATCTAGCACTATGCTTTTCGCCTTCTACTCTTCAAGTTCTTTTATTTGATACCCATATCACTGATGTTATTAAGAAAAATGTAATCGCTGTGTCTAACGTAGTCATTTTAGAATTAACCCATTGTTAGGCGGACAATATATCTTCATTTGAGGAATGTACAAAATTGTTTGCCTCATGACAAGTAAGCATAAAACCTCAAAAAAGTGAGAAAAACAAAATTTAATTATTTGCAACTTTACGTGGGCATGGCCGAATTTCCCATTTTTGCACGTAAACGATATAATGCTTCGTAAAGTAAATGAGGAAAATTTCAGCCTTCTAAGTTTCATAGTTTCCGAGTAACGAGCAAAAACCCAAAAACTTTTGTTAAGAAAAACAAGTTTTAAGTTTCGTTCAATTTACGGTTCATTGCGGGCTACTGCTCTGAGCAATGTGGCTGCATTTTCAATAGCAACCTGCGTGCGAAAACTTCCAATGTTTCTACCAAATATGAAATTGAATATCTTCAGTTTTGCGACTAAGAGAGTGCCAACAACGAACACCACGCAGACGGACGGACGGACATATGGACACATGGCTAAATCAATTCAGAATTTCACGCTTATCAAGAATATGTATGTATACTTTACACATACATTTTGAAAAAATTAAACAAAATGAGTATAACGCCACCCCACAGGTATGGTGGGTATAAAAAAACAAAGAAAAAGTCTTTTCTTCTTCGTGTGACGACATCTATTCTAAGCATTTTTTAAACCTTTACTGCATCCTTTATACTGGTTGTAGTAAACGCGGCAGATGGTAAATAGTTGCGATTATCAGGCGACTTAATAATTCGTTCAAAAAAGTTTGACATCACAACTTTTATGGCTTAATTTCATGTCTTTATTTTATATTATAAATATTGAAAAATTTTACACAAAACCAAAAGGAAGTTTAGCATGTATCAATACATTTACATTAGTAGATAAGTAGTTTTTTTTTTTTCTTGTTTTTTTTTTTCTTTATAGATATATTTATTTATAGATAGTACAAGTGCAGCGTAATTAGACTTAAAATCAAAAATAAGGTAAACAAAAATAAGACGTTGTTGTATTCGGGTTCGACCGAATCTTTTCAATACCCACCATATAGCTATAGAAAGTATGAAGTATATTCACCATTAAGTGAAACTTATTGTTCTTTCAGATAATTAATTATATTTAAAATTGTTAATTATTAAGGTTTTCTTCCTTATTTTAAACATGTAAAGCTTCATATTGTCTCTAAAATATTCTTTACAAAATAAATATGCTTACTCAGAATATTAGATGCGCTAAGGTAACGTGACATTCGCGTTCCGCAATGGTGAAAGTGCTTAGGAGCACGCGGAGACTACTTAAATATAAAAGAAACCTGAAAAACTTGAAAAAAAAATACACTTTTTTTGTGTTTTCTTTCAAAGCATGTCTATGTGGGCGCTTCCGATAGCAATAGGGCTTTTAACTTTTAAGGGCCTGCACGCAAGCATCGATTTGCTGGATCGTGTAAAACGGTATTCGGTATTACTTAAAACACTTTTTTGTGCATTTGTAAACGCCATAAAAGTAATTAACAATGTAAACACACAAAAAATATGGTGGATATAATATGGATTAAGAATAAGGATTACTTAAATTTAAGCTGAAATGTTGAATCTTTTATTTACACCTCAGTCGACCGTCCACTCTCCTCCGACCGCGACAGTTTACGCTCTCGCCCCGTTATCCGCCCGACGGTAGTTAATGATTGTTGCAAACTCTGCTGGTTATGTATCACATTAATGGGTGACTGCTGATGCTGAGCAATATTAATATTGCTAAAGGTTTGGATACAAGGTGACACATAAACACCGCTAACTGCAGACGGAGCCTGAACGAATCGCATTTTCGCTGCAGCCGAGTTAACTGCTACGGCGACGACAGCTGCATTTTCACGAGAAGCATTACTGGTTGTTGTTGACTGAAATGAAATTGACATACCACTGTCCAAAGATCCTACGCTACCTCGACGTTGGGGTTTGTCGTTACCAACTATAAACAAAAAAAAAAAACAAAAAAAAAATATATACAAAAATAATATCAGTAGTAATAAGGACCTTTAAGACTACATACAAGAGCAAAAGGGGGAGAGAATTTTGAAAGAAATGCATTATTTTCACAAGAACCATAAACCATAGTGGTACGATATTCTAACAAATTTTAAATCATCAATTCGTGCAGATGATGATGCTTACGCTGTGTCAAGAAGTGTCGCCGCGAAACACTGGACAAGGTAATTATAGAACTCTCAGGGATAAAAACTTGCGTTTGTTCACATTTTAATTTGATTAGCAATTCGAAAGACCCGCGTAAAACCTTGAAAATCTTGCTCAGTCATTTACGCAATATTCACGCGTTATCTTTAATCGTTACTCACTGATCTGCCAATACGACGATATGATGAATTCTTGTGTGACTTCAATTCAAAATTCCTTAACAATGTTTACGATTTTCCCACAAGAATTTTCATGTCATCAAAAAAGAACGAACGAGAATTGTGCACACCCCGACTAGGTTACGCTTTCTTATGCTCGCTACGTTCAATAAAAGCGGACCAATTATTTAACATTACTTTAATCACTTCAATCGTCCTTGAATTAAATTCATTACAATTACAAATTACTTATAAAATTACTACTGAATGTGACTAAAATTCAATATGCGCTCGATGCAATATAAAGATTTTACAACAAAGGATGGATAAATTATTATAGATTTTCTGCGCGCGGCAATTTTCAATGAAAGTATACGCACACTGATTGAATGAATCAATTACTTACATTGCTCATGTATATCTAGCAAACTATTGCTTAGTGCACTACGTTTGAGTTGTGCGGTTTCCGATGAATTAGGCGGCAATTCACTCTGTTGAGGTACCTGGAATGGGCACGGACAAATCTCTACATCACCAACACCGCTGTCTCTGTTCTCGGACGTACCAGATGGTCGTGTTCGCGACGATTTTTGGCGCTCTAGCTCTGCCTCAATCCGTAGTGCTTCCATCTCATCCATTTCACAAATAGATTCTTTAAGATCCTCTGCAAATTTGCATCGATCGTGTTCGTTGCGGGCGTTAAAAGTAAATAAAATTTTTCCGTCAACTTTCTGTGACAGCTGAATACAACATGAGTAATTGGGTACATCTAATAGAGTCACAACCATGCCGCACAAAGGAAAACTATGACGGAACGTGTATGTGACAGACGACTTCTTTTTGCTGAAAATTTTCGTTATGACTAGTAGGTCGTTAAAGAGGAATACCTCGCGCTGATGAACACCTGGCCGCTCTTTTTTATTAATATCGGGAATTTCATATAAACGACAATAGCAAACCAATCGTCGATGGGGTAAAGCCAAATTTGGCTTCTTTCCAACGATAGTAGCCTGCACCTTCATTACTTGTGTTACGTGATCACTTCCCGGCTTAAATTCATTTGTTTTGACGCGCTCATATATCCCGGCAAGCATATTCCTATCAATATCGTGACAATCGTCTATGCCACGTAAATTCTTAATGAAGTCGTCAACGCGCATTCGCCTTTCCGGTTTTAAATTTGGTGTGTGCAAGTCAGTATTTAGCATTATGATAGCAAATGCCAATACAAAAATCTAAAGATTTGATTAAAATTTGATTAGAAAAATAAAAGAGCTATCCTTCTTAACATTGGCGAATAGAAAGATTAAAAAAAATTAACGTACCGTATCGGAAGAGCGCAAACGTCCCACAATATCTTGGTTACATTGGCAGTAACGTTGTGAAAACACTTCCATAAGTCTTTCAATTTTTTGTGCTTCGCCTGGCATTCGAAAATACGTCTGAAATTTCCTGAGAGCCACGTCTACCTGCATGCCGGAAAGATCAAGTTCCATTGCAAAGCAATTAAGTACGGCCATATTAAATGGACTTTGAAGATTGCCCAAATACTCTCCAATCATTTGGCGCGATAAGCCTTTGCGAGTTATCAAAAATCGCGCAACACCTTGCGGCGTATTTTCAAGAAAACCACGACGTATGAGGTATATAATACCTTTTTCAGGTCTCTTATTAAACAAATTTAAGCCTACTCTGTACTGGCGTTTCCGGAGAGTCTCAGAAACCTTATAGTTGGTAGTTGGTATTGAAGCCTCGATTTGATTTTCCTGTTGTTCACACTGGACAGTACTTGAATGGGAAGGCAGTGTTTTTTCTTCGCAGGAAGAAATGCCAGTAGCATTAGATGTGCCCGTAACTGCAACATTGTTTGGAGTGTGTGCGCAGGACTGATCTGATACGTGCAAAAACTGTTGTAGACTGTTAATGTTAGCACCACGTTTCCATGAGTTCGGCGAATTCGAACGATCTGAACCCAAATCGCTGATAACGTTGCGTTCTACAGATATTGCACTAGAATCACTGCCCGAACTTTGCACCGATGTAAGGCTGCCATTCTCGGCTGTTTTGTTTAAACCATTTGAACGCATTATTGAAGACGGCGATTGTGTTTGACGTATTATAGCCATTTGCTGATTCGTATGGAGCTGCTGATGTTGAGACGCAATGTGCTGCCCATGCTGCTGAGCAGTCATTGAGGAGGTTCTTTTTGGAACTTCGGGGGGCACCTTCTTGCGTTCCTGCGACGAAGAGGACCCACGAGGACGCATGTAAATTTGAGCTGCGGAATAATAAGGTGTATGTGGAGACGATACGCTAGTATTCACCCATGATATATTTAATGAAGAATCCAAATTGGAACTATTAGCTGAACTGGCAAAACTCGCGTCATGATGTAAAGAATGATAACTACCGCAATGTGCTGGCGTGTGCCCGCCACCAATATTTTGCACACTATAATAATGCGCCTCGGCGGCGTGCAACAAATTGACATGAGGATGATTAGAACCGGTAGAAGATGATGAACAGATCGCAGAAATGCTATGTGCTCCTTTAAAAAAAAAAAATAAAAACAAAACGCAAACGATATCCAAATAGAAACTTCAATTATTACAACTTCAATATTAGTGAATTAATTAAATAACGAAGCAGTCTTCTTTTTTTTTCCGATAACAATACGAATTGTTCACTCTTTACCTGATTGACTTCGTGGTAAACTGTCATCAGCATTACGCCGTTCACGCATGGACATGGATCTTGTCGGTGGAGTACGGGTACCCGACATACTTTGATGATTATTAGCGCCAGCTGGTCCTGCTAATATTGTTACACGAGGTTGTTGTTGTTGTTGCTGGGCTTTCGCAGACATTATGGTTGCTGTGACATCCAATTGGGATTCAGTTGCATTCTCAGAATCAGTTGTTTTAGTTATTGGCGCACTAATTGCCGTTTCATCTTTAGCTCCGACTAGCAATGTACGTCGACTGCTTCGTTTTTCTGCTTTGGCCATAGCTGTAATTGAGGCAAATTTCTTTACCATCATATAGTGGCGAAATGCTCTTTGAATCGTTATAGCTGCGTTGCGGGCACGTACTCCACCGTATTTACGTTCGAGCAATTCGATCTGTTTTTCAAGTAAATCTTGCGAAAGCTCATACCTAAAATCAAAGCAATTTTTAAATTAAACAAAACTTTTCGATACTAAATATTAGCATAAAAAGGAAAACAATTTTATTTTCATTGTGCACACCACCATCAATTAAGACATAAACATAACACACAATTACTTAAAAACCAAAAAAATCTTCTACGAATTTTTTTATTTATTCTTTTTTAAGTGATACTCGTTACTCTTATTTTTCAAAATTGTCTCTGCTCAATAGCTATGGATTAATTAGCTCATTTTATCTTTGTCATTTATTCAACAATTTTGTATCGTGATTGACCAGATCTTAATTAAACACCTACTTAGAGTCTTTCTATTCATTGTTCGAGGGTATATTCTCATCTTTTTATTTTAGATACCCGGTTGGGAGTTTAGAATTCAACAAAATAATGCATATTGTTACGGAAATACCAAATCCAATTCATTCCGGCTAATTAATTTTCCCATGAAATAAATTCCCTAAACAGGAAAACCAAGTGCACATTTGCGGTGCGCCATTCAGCCTGCCGGCTGACGAAAAAGATTAGCGGAAAAGCATGTTAACGGATTAAAAATGAAGCCATGAACTTAGCTAATACTAATATGCTTGTAAAATTGTGTGTAAATAGACGACTATATGCGGCAGGCAGAGTCAATCGGACAAGAACGTTTGAATCGGAAAAGAATATTAGAGGTGAGAAGTCGACAATGTAAATACTCCTACCCTTAAACAAATTGATTGTAAATAAAAGAGCGTTGTAGTGAAAACGTGGAAATTTACTACTCTTCGAAAAACCACGATGTAGCGATACAAAGTGTTTCCAAGAAAAGCGAATTTCGTAACAATATGAACTATTTGCATATAATATATTAAAAAAATGTCAAGATGATCTAAGCACATTTGTGTGGCACACATATGTACAAATAAATAAATTAAGTGGTCTCGCTCGAAAAGAAACTGCCTCCTGATTTTGCTACTAAACTATTACAGGCGGTGACGATCTTATATTAAAGGGTTAGGTACAATTTAAAAACCGTAGGTTTACGTACCGCGCATCCCTTATGGAAAACTAATCCCCCTTCCTCAATGGAAGATGACTCCGAGATATTTACTTACGCTTTACTGCAAATCGCGCCGACAAATTACGTCGTCGCTATCAGTTACAAAACAATGGATTAAGTCCTGCACTGCAATTGGTAGGGCTTAAACCAACAACTACTGTATGAATTTCGTTGGTTGGAGACTTACTTGATACATAAAACCTATCTGTCATTATAAGGCTAAATCACAGTTCGTGTGAAGCAGCATACACAACCGCTGTGAAAACCCGAGTGACCCGCCCAAAACTATAGCTTACAATTCATAGCAGATATTGATTGAAATGAGCTTGAACCTCTCTAAATCGATAGAAGCGCTTTAAAGAAAGAAAAAAAAGAAGCACTTTTAAATTATGTAACATTGTATGTGTGACGCCGCCTGTTGATGGCTGCCTGATCACGGAACATACATCCTTATTGAAGCTGTAAGGCAATTTGCCATGTCTAAGTAGAGTTACTTGCTTAGCAGTAATCGCAAGTCGCTATAACATTTTGATTTCACCGGCAAACATGATCAATCAGACGAAAACAGTAAGCGATGGATATATAAAGTGTGAATTTTTGTGAGTTAAAAGAAATCAATAATCAAGGCGTTTTATTCTGGGCAATAAATCCGTGGAAAACAAAACGTGAAACGAACATCTGAAGGGCCATGTGAATCATCATCAACGCGTGCGATGAATTGACATTTTGCAGAGATTAATTATTATATTTCCATTGACTTTAATGAACGATTTTGACTGGTCTTTGATGAGTTCATGCATGCATAGTCCTAATAGCGTCTTCAAATATCATGTCGTTTCGCTTAAATATCATTTACGCTTTACGCTTTCATGATCACCTTTAAAGTGCATATATATTACTAGTGAATCGCTATAAGCTTTGGCATCAATTGAAACGTTTCGGAAAAAGTTCCCCAAATTTTAATATATTGGCCATTTGTTGGGTAGTGATTTTTACAGCGTTGCGTGCTCACTTACAATGCAATAATACTCGTCTTCGGCAGGGCCAATTGCCAGGCGCATTTGTTAGAAACGCAGTTGTCCAAGCGAGGCAGCCATAAATTGGTGGCGACCCTAGAATTTGTAATTTTCTTCCTATCTTGGAAAATATGATTTTTTCTTCCTTCAAAGGTTTTTCATAATAACGAATGCAACTCGACCAAAGGACCGAAAGTTTTAATTATATTTAGGATAAATGTTATCGTTCTCCCGACTAAATCGAAAGTCTAACGTTGACGTGAGACACAATAAATTGGGTTTCGTTGAAGAGATCCTTTCTCGTCATGCTTAAAGATACTTACACTGATTGAGTTCGAGACCGTTTCAACATGTCACCGCTGTTCCGAATCGAATGCTTCTTATGCATATTTTGTTGATGTAAATTTGAAGGCGACGTTCCACCACTACCCATGCTTGTATTTACATTGTTTGCGGATACAACGATCGCTCCACCATGATAATGGTATTGAGGATGACCGTGCAGTTGATAACTTCTGTGACCGTGCTCATGCACATTCGTGTGTTGCATATATTGCATATCATCTAAAAAAATCATCATTATTATTATTATTATTATTATTGTATATTCATTTAATTAGACTTAAATAAATGGGCGGTTAACGCGTACCTGTGCAAAGTATTCCGGATATCGGATGTTGATGGCACGACGAGTTTTGCTGTGGATAATTTTGGAAGATCATATTAGGCTGGGCTTCTGAATAATATGCAGTAGAGCTAGAATTGGAAGGAATCGATGACGGAACATAATGCTGCTGCAAATATAGATAGCCTCCACTTTCCGAACTCGAAGTATTCGATCCAGGCAATGCATTGGTACAACATTGAGCTGCAGCACTGCGCTCAACGGATTTCTGAGGAAAGCTAAAATTCCGAAACATAAATAATGAATGAATGAATGAATATTCAATCAAAAATTCTATTACGAGAAAAATATTCTTTCAAATGAACAATTTGAATGTAAAAGTCAATACACAATACTCCATCTTCCTAAGCAATTGATCCGTTTATTTTAAAACTTGAACGAGAACTTTGAGACCGAACAACTAACTCATCGGCATAGTTGTCTTCGACAAAAACTTGTTTTATTCATTCTATATGCTAAAGTGTTTCGATCTGGGAAAGAATATCTTTTCCTTCTTTTTCTTGCTTTTCAATTTTCGAAATTAAAGTAAGCCAGCATTTCTGCAGGATCTGCACTAAGTCACGTTGCCTTATACCTTGATGAAAAGTGATATTTACGCCTTGCCTTAACTTTGTTATACGAAATTATCTACAAACAATTCGCAAATAACGATATTGTTAATACGTCTGATTATCTATCTAGTAAATAAATATAAAATAAAAATTAAATGCAGGAGGAGAGACGCTAGCAGTTGGTGCACTTTGTGATGTGACTTTTCATTACAAGTTATCTTTGGCAGTCACCCTTAGATATAAAGATAACTTTCCGCGATCGTATTCGGCATATCAAAAATAAACACAACAACATTCTCGTGGAAACTCTATACTCATTGGCAAACAGAAATTCCAAATTGCGTACTACGAAAAAAATTGTCTTTTCTATGTGTGCCCAGCATGGGCTAACTGCACATAAACCCACACTGAAAATTTGCGAATAAATTATTGCGAATAATGCTGTGCTTGTCTCTAGAGGGTTTTCTGCTACAAACGCTATACAAAATTGCAAATATGGATTAATTACAAATACCAATTTTTTATTTACAAATAAATTTTAATTATTTAATAATACTATCACAAGTTAACTCTGATGATAAATTCTATTCATTACATTATCTATTTTTTATTGATTTGTACTTTGATTTTCAACTTTATTTAAATCAAAGTCTGAAATATTCTTAATTGCATATATTAAATAGCTAATGCTCATTTCCTTCTTCTGTAACGGAACAAGTAAAGACGTTATAATTGAGCAAAAATGACCGTCAAATGCCAATAATAGATCTATGTTGTTCAAACTTAATGGCGATATATTTATATGTCAAAGTCCATATTTTAGACCAATTTTGAGCATAAAATACTACAAAACAAAGCTTGTTGTCATATCAGTGGTTTTCGTTTAGCTTGAAATGAGCTCAAAATACTACTTTCCATCGGCTTCCATCAAAAAAAATATTAAAACTCACAAATTTCATTCGCATAGGGAGGGGATTTTTCAAAAGAGTTCACTTTATTATGACCAAACGTGGAAATGAATCCATTCAATTCCAATTCATTTCCAATAGAATTCGTGGGTATCAACTTTCATCGAAATATTCTCAAAATTCCGACACATAAAATCCTAACAGAAGAGTTGGACAGACGGACAGACATGCTTAAGCTGATTGAAGCTTCGTTACGTAGATGATCCGAATAAACTTATTAATTTACTCTTACTACCCCGGCAGTGTAGGATATGACTAAACGAAAGTTCACTTTATAATGACTAGCCGTGGAAATGAATCAATTCAATCAGTAGAATTCGTGGGCATCAACTTTCATCGAAATATTCCCAAAATTCTGACACATAAAAGCCTAACAGAAGAGTTGGGCAGGCGGACAGGTAGAGATGATCCGAATAAAATTATTAATTTACTCTTACTACCCCAGCAGTGTAGGATATGACTAAACGAAATTAAATAAACCCCAACTAAGGCATGCATACCTACATACATAGCCTTGCCTATACATTTAGTTGTGAAGGTTTTCGACTTGAAAGGGCATTACTATTAATAGATTACTGTACGAATTGCAAGGAGAGGTGAAAACCGCTAATAAAGAGAGTCTTCTGATTTGAAAAATAATAGGATTTGCTCTTATTCTACTCTGATCTGGAAAGCATGAGAAAAGCAGATCACAAAATCGTTTCGTTCAATGAATAAAATGATTTATTACAAAACAGTTGCGATTACAATGAAATCGTGAAATTTAAACATTGAGAACAGTAAGCGTTTGAATAGTCAGAAGCCTATAGTGTCGATAAAGGATTGCTCTCTTCTCGTCACAAAGAATTATATCAATCAACGATAAAATGGTATTATAAGGCACATCATAACTGTTCGTCTTTGGAAGTTTCGGAAGGCCTATTCATCTTGTCTAATGCTTTATACTATATCAATTTATATTATATTTAGAGTAACCGATTTTACACACACACACACGCACGTACACAATTTGATTTTCAACTAATTAATTAACAATTTCGAAGAGATATCAGAGATACCTTTGTTTACACTTAAACGATATTAGTCGTTTTGTATTGTTGTCACTTTTTAAAAAAAATATTTTTTATTTTTTTTCTACGATAATTTGAAATTCTCTTGCTTATGTGAAAAAAAAAAAAGATATTTAAAATTTCAAAGAAAACTACAAATACGATTAAATTCATATACTAACGTTAACGATTTTATAAACCGTAACGTAAAGGGTATACAGGGGCTCTCAATATTATCGAATATATATATATATTATTCATATTAAAGTTTCGTTTCAGTCGTCAAGGAAGACTCACAAACGAACCCATTTCGGTTGCAAATGCACGGTGGCAATGACCTGAATCGCATTTTCACATTCAACGTTAAATGTTAAATTTAGTTTAGTAGATAAAATTTTCTATTCTTAAGAAAAAGGCAGCAGCACAAAAAAAATATTTTGAAGAAAAGCAATTGCTTTTGTTTGTTACCTGTCTCCGATTACAAAGCCGGATATACAAATAATCATAATAACTTATTAAGTGAAATCGCGAAAATCGTGGAAAAAATCGTAAGACAAGTATTTTCTAATTAAATTTATTGTAGCATTTATTTAAATGTTAGCTGAACGATGAATCAAAACATACTAAAACCGTTCACTGCATTTGAACTTAAAGGAGCGCGAGGACTAATAAACGAATGTATGTCGATTCACTTACACGAACACAAGCAAACTCGGAATGAAACTTATACACTTACAATTGCCAAAAAGGGAAGGAATAATTGAAAAAGAAGGTATAAAACACGGAACATGTGTGTGGGGGTTTATGCCAAGTTGTTGATGTAATATTGTATTGATGTAATATTTGAATTTTAATGACGATCTCGAACGAAATATCAAAGAAGAGATTATTGTAATGAACGGTGTTTCCAAAAATGTAAGGCGATAGTGGTAGTAGTATAGCAAGCAAACAATTCCGCAATAATAACATCTGGCCATAAAAGCAGGTCGCTCGCTCTCGCTCCCCCTCTCTGTCTCTCTCTGCTCTTCACTATCTCTTTCCGAAATCTGAGTTAAAGGTGTTTAACGGTGCACATGTATTGGGCATACATGAATTATTCTTCTTGTCTGTCTGTATGTGTGTGTGTAAATACAAATAATAATAGATGAAAATCTTTTGAAGCCTTGTTTGTGTATAAGTAGAGACAGGATTGAGGTGAAACAGGTAAAGGTAAGAAACAAAATCATTCAACAGGATACAAGAGCAACGCAAAAGAGATTTCATTATTGCAAGTGTACGAAATAATTTATCACCGGAAGGTACATTAACATTTTCATATCATTTGGAATCGGACTACACATATAAGAATTAGCTGATAAAAGTCATCAACATCTCATATTTATATCCACGAAGTAACAATGTTTCCCCAAACATCTCAAACCAACTAACTATACATACATAGAAGTGGAAAATATTTCTTCAAGCCTCAAGCTAAACTTTTTAGTACACAGTTCTAGTGCAAATATCTATTTCTTAAGTTACAGTCTACCGTCTCTTATCCATCTGTTTGCGCATATAAATCACGCCCATTCTGCCACTAAAGTCTTAACATTAATTGATCAGTTTCATAATTTGATCCAAATTTCTGGCTAACTTCGTCTATGGACTGAAAGTAATCGTTTTTCAAATATTTACACGCTACTCGCCGCCCTTTATACTCTAAACTTTCAGACTAATCCTCGTGCCCCGTGTCCATTTTTTCTATAGATTGACTATTGCGGGTTTTTTTTTTTTTTTGCCTTTTGATGATGAATCAAATCCACATTCAGTTACAATCTGTAGCCGTCAACTAGCATTATTTCGATCGCAGGTGGATAAAAGGACGGACGTTTACTATTCCCAGTTACAGGTCCATACTTTAAACATAACTTTTTGCTTATTTTATATAAACTTTTCTGCTTTTCATTTCCATGATGTTCAGAAACATCATTCGTAGGCAAAGTGGGAAAAAATGATGATAAAAAAAATAATCGTACAAATGTGAATTTCAATAAATTTAAGGAGTTCAAGGAGAAATGGAAATGATATAATCGGAACAAATTAGACTTTGATTGAATTGCGTTGATTTTCGTTCGCCAAAGCAAATAAAAAAAAGGGTAAGAAAGCTGCAATTACCGCTGCATTGTCCACTTTGCACACATAAATTGACCGATCGAGGGTAATTGTGCCACGAACGTTAAGCCGGCTCTGGTAAACAAATCAATAACAAATAGTGGGTTATAAGCTATGACTAAAAACGTTATACTTCGAAAAGTTGCAATTATTTTGCCCAGAACTGTGTTGTATTATATTCCAACCATTTATATATATATATATACATATATACATACATTTACATTGATATGAGTACACAAAAATCGAATACAAAAAGTAATGCTAGATAGATGATTACATATGCGCACATAAGGATTCCTTCAAATATACGCTTAAAAGAAAAGAAAAGAAACGAAAAAAAAAAAAAAAACATCTGCCGGTTATATGTACCTTTATATGTGTATACCTTACTTGCGGCGCACATCTTACCGATATAGCCAGGCGGCAGATGTTTCGAAATTTTACTAAAAGAAAAAAAAACAACTCAAAATGGTTTCAATTGCACATGCACCAATAT